CCGAGAAGACCGTTCATCACCGAGCTCCCCTTACAGCACTGTCGATATATCGAGATATGAGCGGTTTGATGATCTTTTCAGATGGCGCTGACGACTTTTACGAAAGAAGATTTACTAAGCCAAAGAAGGTAATTAGAAATTGGTGTCTCCTTTCAGCTCTTCGGATACATCTGTTATAGAAGGCAGTGTCTCGTCGAGGCACAGGAGATTCTATCGATATTGATCTGTATGGTGAGGAAATTGTTCCGCAAATGCCGAGCGCAGTTGTTGACGAGGACGAGCTCCTTTATGGTGACTCGGGAGCAAGTAAGAAGGGTAGGTTCATGCTCCTTTTCCAGAATCTCCGTTTCACATAAAGAACTAGCCCTGCGATTGCATTTGTGGATAGGGTTGTTCAGTTATACGGTTATAGTCGCTTAGTAACTTTCCAGAGAAGAGAAAAGCAAAAAAGCCATGGAGAGTATCGCAAGTGAAGACCCCTTGCAGCCTCACTGTACGAGTTTTACGAGTTCTCCGGATCTGCACATTTTATGCCGACAAAGCAATATCCTGCCGGCCCTGGTTCTGTAGTCGTTTCTTGGCATCATCCATTGCTGATGACATCTAACAGACAAAAAAAAGCAACAAACACGTCGTAGAAACTGATAAAAAAAATGAAATGACAGAAAACAGCTCTTGAGTTTCGGTGGGAGGGACGGCTGGGGGCAGAGCTCACACGTATGAGGGCCACAGCGCCTTCATTACTGATTATGAAGCCCCAAAGGGGGGGGGGGTGGGCCTTAGAGAATAAGGACCTTACTACTTGTACAAGGAATGACACCTTCGAATTGCTTGAGCGCGGAGACTATCTTTATATTTTTTTGTTCAGATGAGGGCTTCCGTAAAAGAAAGCGAATGGCGGAAGTTAGTAGTGTTACGACCGGTGGTGAGGAGTCCGACGCCATCGATCCCAACACCGGTACGTTTTAATGAACTCTGACACTATTCATTACATGCAAGCTCATTTTGTTCAAATTTGACTACTATTTCAGTGGAACCAACATATTGGCTTATTTTGGCTCGCGACAGTGGAAAAGTTGTAATTCACTCTCTACCCGATATGAGAGTTGTTTATCAGGTCAGTTTGTCAACAGGTAGTGTTTCGCTGAGGCGGAGGTGGTGTGGTGACAAGTGGCGCAATTACCACT